ATTGACTCCGCATTCTGTAAACTAATTACATGTAGTGCAAGAAGGCCTTTTCTTGTACACAAGAAATGTGTCGCCTTATGATGGTGGCGTCTTCCACCAGGTTCGTGGAACTAGATCCCTCCGACTCCGTTCCTTGAATTGACAATTTGATGATCTAGGCACCGCTCCTGTTACCTCTGTTTGCCCTACTCCCGGATGCGAAGAGCTGGCCCTTGCCAACAGCAATTTTCTACTTCCTTGTCGACCTCATGAACGCGTACGCATTGATGACTATATCTGCGTCGGGTCAGTCAGTCAAATCGAGACTACACTCAGCAGTCCGAAAACATGTCCGATGGGATGGAGTGTCCGTTGCAGCATGGTATAAATCTCTGGCTTCCCCATCATATGTATATCTACATGCTTACGACGGATAGGTTCTTGTTCAATCCCCTCACTATTGCGACATGTTTAGCGCGGTCAACCAGCGTATTTACGACATCCGGAATCCTCTTCGCCGTCTCCAATGCAGTCGGTGGAAATAGCATCAATGCGATGCTAGCCCTTGGATTTGCTTCATACCTGTCTCTGTACCCGGCGCTGCTATTTATCCCGTTGGTCTTGCTATGCTATGACCGGCGGTTGGAGGGACCTAGCCCACCCAGTGCTGGATCGTTCATTATCCAACATGCTATCCTACTGCTGGCCAGTGTGGCAGGCCTGCTTGGCCTCTCCTGTCTGATCACCGGCAACTTTTGGGAGTTTATCTCGGCAACATATGGTTTCCATCTTTTGGTTCCAGACTTGACTCCGAACGTGGGGCTGTGGTGGTACTTTTTTATTGAGATGTTCGACTCATTTCGAGAGTTCTTCCTCGGCGTTTTCTGGCTTCATTTGGCCAGTTATGTCGGGGGTCTCACGGCTCGCTTCCGAAGTCAGCCATTATTCGTGATTACCTCGCTATTGGGTGTCTTCGCCGTGTTCAAGCCATACCCTAGCATCTCGGATGCATCACTGTTCTTCGCATTGCTACCATTATATCGCCACCTTTTCCCATGTGAGTATTTCCAAAAATTGAGCATATCTCAGGATCAGCTTGGCTAATTTGGTACAGTGATGCGTTATACCTTCTTTGCGGGCTCGGCAATCTTGTACTCCAGTCTTCTCGGTCCGGCTTTCTACCACCTTTGGATTTACGCAGGATCCGGAAATGCCAATTTCTTCTACGCCATCACTCTAGTCTGGAGTTTGGGCCTCTCCATCCTCCTGGCCGACACCATCTTTGCCGCTCTCAGAGACGAGTGGGAGCAAGAACACCCAGAGCAAGTGGGCACAGAGGTGCGACAGGTGTAGTGTATGCACGCCACTATCCTCATATCAACTATTAGCATTCAAACCCTTGACAAAGAGATATCCAGCTATTATAATTTCAAAATTTTCGACAAGATCAAATGGTCAACATCCTTTATAGTCCCGTTGCGCAACTTGCGCGGTCGGGGCGAATACTCATCAACCTCATAACCAAGCCGCTCATAGAACCGCCGAGCAATTTCATTCGACTTGAAAACCGTCAGCATAGACTTCTCCAAGCCGACAGCACCAGCGATCGCCTCCATCCGACCCATAAGCAACCTCCCGACGCCCCGTCCCCGGGCCGTCGGCGACAAGTGAATCTCGTAGCAGTAAACAACCTCCTTTCCGTCCTCGTATGTGACCATAAATGATAAGAAGCCAAGCACGTTCCCAGAAACAGTATCAGGCGATGAAATAGATTCCTCGCGTTCCTTCGGGGGTGGAGACGGAGCATTGTTTTCGGCAATATCCCTCTGCTTCTCTCTCGGAACTCGCCCACTAGGATCACTATTATCATTCGGCGTGTCCCGCAAAATCAAATACTTCATATCTGGCAACTTCATCTCCTTCCGCTTCTTGGTACGCGACCAGCCTGCGTTCGACGCCATGTAGGCTTGACTTGAGGTTTGCTCGATCAGATCCAGACATGCTTCCAGATCAGCCGCGGGGATAGTTGCCGCAGAGTAGACATCCACGCGCGACATGGGGGTCATGTCCTGCTGTGGCTGATCTTGAGATGGATGTGGTTGATCAATCGCATCATTTTCAGCTGAATCTCCTACTTGCGTCGGTGGAGTCACGTATTGGGCGATGAAGTCGCTAATGGATAATGCGTTGGTCTGTTCGACCAGTGGGACTAAGGGATTATTAGCACGCGTCGCCATTTGGTTAACGCAAATCAATAAAACATGTTTTGAGGATGAAATATGCTTGTGACAGTGGTGTATTTACTCACTTTTGCTGGACACGCGTCGGGTTGTGGTTCGCGGTGTTTTGGCTTTAAATTTCTCGACTCGGCCTTCTTTCACGGACGGCATAGTCCAAGAATATGTCAGAGGAAGATAATTTCTCAATTCAGCTTGTATGACAGGGTTTTGCGTTTCATAGTTGAAGGATGTTCTGGTGAGGGGCCGGGACCCCGGACTTTTGACGGGAAGTTATATGCCCGATTTTAGTTGTCATACATATAGTTATCCCCTTCTTGTCCTTCATCTTATATTTTTACCTTCTTCATTCCTAGAGAACAATCCTCATTTCTTGCTATCCTTCCGTCTTTGAATATCAAATCCTTTTAGTCTCATTCTCTTTGCTCTTCTCCCTGGATACGCTCCTATGCCACCATGTTCGCCGGTTAAACCACCTAGATGCAATCCCAGCGCATCTAACAAGGCCATTATGCTGTGAGAAGATCACCTGTTTCTTAGCGGATATATGATCCGCGGCAGCCGAGTCACCAAATTACATATTTCCCTACTCAACCTTGTGATTTGATATATATCCCAAGGTTCGAAAGGTAATATGTCCTACCAGTTAATAATTCACATCATAAAACCTGTATAGGAGCTCTTGGCTACCAATAAGCATGAAGCAGATATCCACCTTCTTAATAATCCTTTCGTCATGAGGTCACTGAAATCGGATGGATGCATCTGCCGATACGTCAAATACGTCAGAGGGCTTCAATATAAACCCCCAACCCCTATACTCATTTTGTCATACGTAGTACACTGTTTCAATGTATCGATACATTTTAGTAAAATGCCTTCATCCACTATGAAACAATGGATTGTTGAAGATGACAAACATGACTTCGACGGTCTTGTTTGCAAGGACGTTCCTGTTCCAAAACCCGGTGAAAATGAAGTCTTGGTGAAGCTCCAAGCTGCGTCGCTGAACTATCGCGACCTAACTATTCCAAAGGTATGGCCTTTGTACGAGAAAGCCAATATTTTTTATACCTTGATTGAATTGTTTTCGCAACACTATTACTTTGCCATAACCGGTCTCTAACTTCTCTCCCACAGGGCCTCTATCCATTTCCTCTCAATTTGCCTGTAGTGCCGGGATCTGATGGCGCCGGCGAAGTTATCGAAGTGGGATCCAAAGTCGTTGAATTCAAAAAGGGCGACCGAGTTGCGACTCTCTTCAATCAGGGCCATCAATACGGCGACATTGACATACACGCAGCGAATACTGGACTAGGTGGTGTGATCGACGGTACCCTGCGTGAATATGGCGTATTCAATGAACTGGGTCTTGTCAAGGCGCCAAAAAATCTCGATGTCCGCGAAGCTAGCACCCTACCGTGCGCAGCGCTCACCAGCTGGAATGCACTATATGGTCTGAAGCCTCTGAGGCCGGGCCAGACCGTTCTGGTTCAAGGAACTGGTGGTGTCAGCATGTTTAGCTTGCAGGTTAGTACCAAACTCATCTGCACTCCTTCATAGTAGACTTAGCTAATGCTGTTTGTTTTATAGTTCGCCAAAGTTGCTGGTGCGACAGTTATCGCGACAACCTCTTCTCCCCAGAAGGCCGAGAGGCTCAAGAAGCTTGGGGCTGATCATGTCATCAATTATAAGACTGAGCCTAACTGGGGCGATGCTGCTCGCAAGCTGACTCCCGACGGAGCTGGTGTGGACCAGATTGTCGAAGTGGGTGGCAGCGGAACGCTTTATGAGAGCTTCAAGTGTATTAAGTACGACGGTGTCATTAGTGTCATTGGGTTCCTTTCAGGCGTAGACCCGAAGAAGCAGCCGGTTGTTTTGGAGGCCTTGACTCACATCTGCACTGTGCGTGGTGTTTATGTTGGTAGCAAAGCTCTCATGAGGGATATGGTCCGAGCCATCGAGGCTAATGATATCCACCCTTTGATGGATGACAAGGTGTTCACCCTTGACCAGACACGGGAAGCCTATGATCATATGGTAAGTTGTTTTTCATTAGTAAGGAAAGAAGTAAGGAGGGATTGAATGCTAACAGATCGAAATTCAGTGGACCCAGAAGCACTTTGGAAAGTTGACTATCAAGATCAACTGAGAAGTGGAATGGAAAGAGGCTAGGGAGCAGCGTTAATGTAACATAAGTCTTACCGGCATCCGTTGTGACAAATTTCTAGTGTTGGAAAATACGAGAGAAAAGGAAAAGGAAGCTACTACTGAGGACTCAACAGCGGGTGGCCTAGTGGTAACATGCTTTGCATGTGTACTACGAGGGAAGTGCCTAAGACCTTCCACTACCTGGACTGTTCCGGTTCGACTCTTGTCGTTCTCTCATTTACCTTTTTTTTCATGTTCATTCATCCTGTTTATAAATCTCTCAAATAAACAATGAAATTTTTATTAGTGGAGAACATGCAATACTTAGAACTATCCTAGTGTCTTTGCAGTTTTCAAGAAGGCAGTCAACATAAAAACTGGTAGTAATTCGAAAATAGTATGTTGATGTCCGAGATGAGGTGAGGCTCATTCTGGTTGGACAGTGGTAGCTTCCCCGCCACTTCCGTCCCCTGCAGGAGTTAAAACCAACCACCTGCTTCTTTCCCTCTGTTACACTCAAGCATACAAGTTTTCTATAGTCTCTTGTGAGACATTTCGTAAACAATCCTTTTTTAAATGACTTATTTCCGCCTCCTGGGCGAGATACCTGATCCAACACCCTACCTTTCTTCAATGGAGGTCATTAATAGAGATACCTCAACCCTCCCAATCCAGGGCGCTAGCCAAAGTGCACGACAGCCACAGGCATCATTTGTTCATCCTGCCCAAATGGCCATGTTTGCGCGTGTCACATCCTATCCCCCGCTGGGACAAATCACTTGTCTCCAAACGGCGCAGAAGGAATCGCGATCTGAAGAAGATGCGGTGAGTCCCCCAAATATGGTCATATTTGATATTGCCAGACTTTCTATAATTATTGAGGGTAGAATGTAAAGAAATACTAACATTGTCAACAGCTACGTTTCACGGTTACTATCGAGTCCAGCAGCTCATTCTCCGAACAATCATGGGAAGCACAGATCTGGCATAACATCACTGGCCCCGAATGGGAACATCTGCCATTGCAAAGATGTAACACAGATCATGCAGATCTTTTGTCCAGAAACGATGAAGAGTACAACTACCATCGCTATGTATTCTCAGAAAAGATATCCCTACCAGCCGCAGGAGGTCATGCACAGTTCACAGTCCGGTTCCGAACTAGCCCAGACACAGAATGGCAGTGGGCTAATCAAAGACACCCCGTGGGCGACGGTGAAATTCTATATAGTGCACGCTACTCTGATCTCGACAACGCTGTGTCCACTGGTGTCGCTGCACGAGCTCCCAAAGAGCAATTAGAAAAGTACATCGATAATCTTCATAGTGACTTGCGGATTGAGTCTCGACCTAGTGAAGCTCCTGGATCGATCCTCTGGGCTCTGTCTGGAGATATAGATGCTGTTCGAAATGGATCTTCAACCATCAAACGACTTGCACTTGGGACCGCTTCGTCGGTGGTGAGGTATTTCTCACTAGTACGCGTGGGGAGTGCATGGCTGGGCCCTAGACATGGCAAAGATAACTTTCGACTTACTGAAGATGCGATATTTTGCTCTTTCCTGCGTGAAGATGGTGTGAATCTTGTTCTACTGGCCGTTTCTGGAGTCAACGATGTTTTGACCGTGTTTCAGTCAGGTGGGAACGGTGAAGTTGTGATCTCCGCAAAAAGTGACGATTTAGAAGCATCTGAATTCCATGTGCTTATTAGCGCAGCGGAAAACTTTGAAGTTGCCATGTCTGCGGTGGTTTATGAGGCACGGAAAGTCGTCAGGCCATTTGCTGATGCGAGTCATCTGGATTTGGACGATTCAGTCCCACTATCTCCCCCTGGTGATGATATGGTCATTGTCGAGAAAGACCCGAGTGCACAGTGGCTTTCCGAGTGGTTCGACGGTCTCACATATTGTACCTGGAATGGGCTTGGACAGGACCTCACAGAAGAGAAGATCTTGCATGCCTTAGACTCGTTGAAGGCGAATGGGATCAACATCGTCAACCTTATTATCGATGATGGCTGGCAGACAACCGACAATGAAGGGCAGTCTCAGTTCAAGCAAGGCTGGAAGCAGTTCGAAGCACATTCGAAAGGATTTCCGGAAGGATTGAAGCATACTGTGGGAGCTATTCGTCGATCACATCCCAATATCGACCATATCGCGGTCTGGCATGCCTTGCTGGGTTATTGGGGAGGTATCTCACCAGATGGGGATCTAGCCCAAAAATTCAAAACAAAGCAAGTGAAGATCAAAGACCCAGCTGCCAATGGGTCACTCACGGAGAGCCCTCTAGATGGCACAATCGTTGCCATTGATCCCGATGATATCAACCGATTCTACGATGAGTTCTATGACTACCTTACGTCTGTTGGTATAGACTCGGTCAAGACAGATGCACAATTCTTCCTTGACCTCCTTGATGACCCAGCGGACCGCCGAAGATTCTTGACTTCTTATCAAGATGCATGGTCTATCGCATCACTTAAGCACTTGAGCACTCGGTCAATCTCATGCGGGTCAATGACCCCTCAAATAATCTTCCATTCACAAATGCCCACCAACAAACCCACTCTTCTATTGCGAAACTCCGACGACTTCTTTCCAGATGTTGTTGCCTCTCACCCATGGCATGTGTTTTGTAATGCTCATAATGCACTACTCACCCGATATTTGAACGTATTGCCGGATTGGGATATGTTCCAAACAAGTCACCTATACGCGTCATTCCACGCTGCAGCTCGATGTGTATCCGGAGGGCCAATTTATATCACCGATGAGCCGGGTAAACATGACCTGGCCCTACTCAATCAGATAACTGCACCTACTGTCAAAGGAATCACGGTGATCTTGCGTCCTAGTGTCATTGGACGCACGATAGACATATACAACGACTACGACGAAGGACGTGTTCTGCGCGTTGGAAGCTATACCGGCTGGGCCAAGACTGGAAGTGGAATTTTAGGCGTTTTCAATATTCAATCTGCCGAGGCCTCGATCATAGTCCCATTGATGGATTTCCCAGGAATTCACGAGGACTCCGAAGGCCAGTATATTGTGCGTGCACACAGCAGCGGTAGGATATCGCATCGCATGCGGCCGTTGAGCCGGGAATCCCTGGTATCAGTTGTTCTGGGGTCAAAGGGCTGGGAGATCCTCACTGCTTACCCGACTCAGTCGTTCATGCTGACGGGCAGCCATGACGGCAACTCTTCTGGTGACCGTCTGACACACGTGGCTGTGCTCGGTCTTTTGGGAAAGATGACTGGTGTAGCGGCTATAGTGACTTCAGATATATCTGTTGTTGAGAACGGTCGTTTACGAGTTGACATCAGCTTAAAAGCGCTGGGCACTCTGGGGATCTATTTCTCGGATCTTCAAGACAGGAGCATTGCACGAAATTTCATGGTCATGATTTTGGGACGACCAGTTCCACAGAATACGATATGGAAACAAGGTGGAGAGAATGCTAATGTCCTGGCAATCGATATATTGGCGGCATGGAAATCGATGAAATTGGACAGTGGATGGAGTAACGAGGCATTCGTGCAGGTTTTTGTGAGTCGAGGTAGCACTTGAAGCCAGTCGTCTTTAAAGACTTTACCATTTTGTTTGCTCGATAGAGAGAGTATTATTCCAACATGGCATCTTTCTCTACAATCACGGATCTGAATCCCAGTCCATGTACTTCTCTGGCCCTAAGCCCTAAATATAGCCCAAATTAGGAAATCAATCAACATATCAGAGATAAGGGCCGCATCATTAATGTTCCGCACGTATCGAAAGAATCTCGGACATCTGGAGCTGGCCCTGGAGGTGTTGATCGTGTGCAGACTCGAGTCCATTGTGAGCCGTTTCATTAATATCCTCATTCTCACACCGGTCCAATGCGACTACAGTCGGCATCGCTCGGCCAAGCGCCATACCGCAGCCTTCTCACACCCCGTCGGATCCCGTGCGGAGCGCGCAGTTTTGCCGCAACAACAGCGATTCTGCTGCGCGGTGACAGCAATCGGCCAGTATTGTCCACCTTGCAGTCCGGGACATGCTTTCAACAGCAGAGATGGATTACACAAAAGTATATTCAGCGTATGAAAGACGGGGAGCAGGAATGGGCCGGCTTCGCGGAAGAGATCAAAGCCGGGAAGAGGAAGAACTTCGCGCAACACTTGGAAGAGCGAGGACTGATCCATGATGTTGTCGGGTATGTGCACACTAGGATATAATGAAGTTGCTGGCATTGGCTGCCGGAAAGGTTTGAATGGCTCGCTAATCGTTTCCTTTCGATTACAGTGAACGGGACTTATTGCACAAGGTCTTCACGGAGAAGCGGGTTGGAATATATGTTGGAGTCGACCCGACTGCCCCCTCAATGCACGTTGGACACATGCTTCCTTTCATGGTTCTGGCCTGGGGATACGTCTGGGGATTACCTGTGACATTCCTAGTAAGTTGCCTACTTTACGCCAAATTGAATACGCCAACTAATACTCTATAGCTCGGCGGTGCTACTTCTAGAGTCGGCGACCCCAGCGGGCGCCTCAAGGGCCGAGATGCTGTCCATTCCTCAATCCGGAAAGCAAACATGGCTAGCATGCATATGCAGTTGAAGAAGTTGGGCTCGAGCATTGAGCACTACGGCAGGAGACACGGACACGAGAAAAACCCAATGTGGAAGCGGGCGTTGACAAACAACAACACTTGGTGGAACTCGATGCCCTTCCTTGAAGTGTTGCGAGACCTTGGCGCTTTCATGCGACTTGGTCCCATGCTCGGCAGAGATACGTGAGTTTTGGCAGGTCCGACAGCGCTGTTGACGCGGGTTTACTGAATTTTTCTACTAGTGTCAAGACGCGATTGAACCAAGGAGATGGCATGTCATTTGCTGAGTTTTCCTATCCTATTCTCCAGGCATGGGATTGGTGGACGCTGTTCCAAAGGGGCACTCAAATCCAAGTCGGAGGTGCCGACCAATATGGAAATATTCTGTTTGGTATGGAGGCTGTCAAGTCTATCAGCCGAAACACTGCCGACGAACAACTCCGCAACCCATTAGAATCAGAATTAGATCGCCCGATCGGTTTCACTACGCCGCTACTGACAACCCCGTCCGGCGAGAAGCTCGGCAAGTCTGCTGGAAACGCCGTTTGGCTCGATAAAGACCTGACTTCTACATTCGAACTTTACCAGTACTTTGTGCGCACGCCCGACGATGTTGTCGAGCAATACCTGAAGATGTTCACTTTCGTACCCTTGCCTGAAATCATTACCATCATGGAGGAGCAGAACAAGGACCCATCTAAGCGCGTTGCGCAGCACAAGCTCGCGCATGAGTTTGTCGAGCTTATCCATGGTAAGGTCGAAGCTGATGCCGTGGCTCTCCAACATCGCCAGCTATTCCGTCCCCGATCCTCAACCGCAGAGCCCACTCCTCTTCCCAAGTCATCCCCTCCTCAATCTGGTCATCCGCAATCCCCCACCGCTGGCTTCGAGACTCCTCAGTCCGGAAATCCATATGCCCCCCAAACAAATTGGGCCAACATGGGAGATTTCAAGGTCACCCTGCCCGAATCGCTGGTTTTCAACCAGCCGTTCAATAAAATACTATGGTCAGCCGGTCTTGTTTCATCCAAGAGCGAGGGCCACCGAGTCATCGTCAACAATGGCGCCAAAGTCGGCAGCCGTCCTGGTGATAGTGGCCCCATGTCAGACCAATTATCCTTCACACCTATCCGGCCGTGGGACGCAGAGAAAACAAAGGAGTTTGTCTTGAATGGCAACCTTCTAATGTTAAAGTTGGGCAAGTGGAAGCTCAAGGCTGTTCACATTGTGCCCGATGAAGAATATCGTGCGCAAGGTCTCACGGCTCCTGGATGGGAGACTGAAACTGAGCAGATTGAGCCGACTGAGCCGACCAAGTCGGACTAAGGCGAATCACCACTAAATCTGTAATTCTACAATATCCAATCTGTACAATAGTATAAATATTATCAAGCCATCTTCATTAAGACAAAGAAAACTTCCCAAGTGCTCATAACAGGTGGAGAAAAGACAAAGTCACGGGTGTCGATCAATGGATAGGTCGAGTCTCGAAGTGCTTCACGCGTCGACGCGATCCGCGCCTTATCTCCACCCGTCCCCAATTCCTTCACAACTCCCCTAATTACTATGTTGAGTTGAGAGTGTATTTTCATTTGATCTCAATTACTTTTATCTCATAAGAAAAGTATGGCCAAACCATCGGCCTCATCTCCGTCCGCTGCGTCGCCATCCCCCGCGCTCAAGCGCACAACTCCCAGCACCCAGAACATGCGAACCCAGAAGTCAATTCTTGGTTTCTTCCAAAAGTCCTCACCAGCGACCCCCTCGAATAGTCGAACGCGAGAACCAGCATCTTCCCCTGCGCAGAGAGCTTCCGAGAAGCGGAGTGAGAGCGCTGTCAAGCCCACACCGAAGGAACAAAAGCGAAGCTTCTCAAGCTTTGCGCAGGATCTGAGTCCCGTCCCAAGCAGCGATCTTCCAGTCCCAGAGGACGAACAGGAAAATGGTAGTCCTTTAAAGGTATATCAATCCGGATTCTGCTGCTTGTTTATTCCTTCAATCTGACCGAACTTCTCCCTTCCTAGACCACCAAAGAGGCACAACAGGAGTCCACTATGTCACCTTCGCGTCGGGTACGTGTGGCATCTGATTTCTCAATTGATATATCCTGTTAACCCATCTGTCTAGGGGAAAAAGCAGGTCAGCTACAAGGAGTCTGACTCTGAGGGCGAGGATGACGACGAGGTTATCTTCCGTCCTAAACGCAAGGACCGCGTCTCTGGCCGTGCGACCAAGAGAAGACGAACCGAGCCGGAAAGCGAAGATGAGTTCAACGAGGCAGGAGATGGAGGATACTCGGATGATGGTATGGTGTTCTTTTGCTGGTTGGGTTTGCTGATACACGACTGACTAGGTTATAGAATTGGACGATTTCATCGTTCCAGATGATTCCGATGAAGAGACGGTTACATCTTCAAACCAGAGGAAAAGACCATCCACACAATCGGCACGAAAGCCTACCTCTAAATCTTCCTCCGTCCCTGCTCCTCCTCCACCCGCTGATGACCTCGACCTTGATGTCCCAGAGGGAGAAGGTTCAGCTGGAACCGCAATGCGATGGGCGTTTGATCCGGAGAACACAGAACCTCGGAAAGAACGAGCTGCTGTAGCGTCTACCAAGACAGCATCTAGCGCGAAAAAGGAAAAGGCCCACATCAAGGAGCCTGAGCAGCGCTATTCATGGCTTGCTAATCTCAAGGACATCGACGGCAACCCTAAGGGCCACCCTGACTACGACCCTCGAACTGTCTATATCCCTCCGCTCGCATGGTCTAGATTTTCTCCTTTCGAGAAACAATACTGGGAGATCAAGCAGAAATTCTGGGATACTGTCGTTTTCTTCAAGAAGGGCAAGTTCTATGAACTCTATGAGAACGATGCCACCATTGGTCACCAACTTTTTGATCTCAAGCTCACGGACAGAGTGAACATGCGCATGGTTGGTGTTCCCGAGATGAGTTTAGATCACTGGGCGAACCAATTCGTGGCCAAGGGCTTCAAGATTGCCCGTGTGGACCAATCTGAATCCGCGCTGGGTAAAGAAATGCGAGAGAGAGAGGGTAAGAAGCCCACCAAAGAAGACAAGATCATCAAACGCGAGCTTGCCTGTGTTCTTACTGCGGGTACACTGGTCGAGGGTTCCATGCTTCAAGATGATATGTCCACGTACTGTGTTGCGATTAAGGAGGCCATTGTGAACGAGCATCCCGCGTTCGGTATCGCATTTGTCGATACTGCTACGGGTCAATTCTTCTTGTCTGAGTTTGTGGACGATGTTGACATGACCAAGTTCGAAACCTTTGTCGCGCAGACTCGCCCTCGGGAGTTGCTACTGGAGAAATCTTGCGTTTCACAAAAGGCCATGCGAATTCTGAAGAATAACACTGGACCCACCACTATTTGGAATTTCATGAAACCTGGCAAGGAGTTCTGGGAATCTGATATCACAATTCGGGAGCTTGAGGCAAGCGAGTATTTCGTCTCTGTGGACGACGATAATCTCACTGCCTGGCCCGAGACCCTGCGTCAAGCTCGCGAGAAGGAGTTACTGATGTCTGCATTCGGTGCTCTGGTTCAATATCTGCGAATGTTGAAGATTGAGCGAGACTTGATCACCATTGGCAATTTCACGTGGTACGATCCCATCAAGAAGGCTACAAGTCTTGTACTAGATGGCCAGACCCTGATCAACATGGAGATCTTCGCCAATTCCTTCGATGGCGGGTCTGAGGGCACTCTCTTCCAGTTGCTCAACCGATGCATAACGCCCTTCGGCAAACGCATGTTCAAGCAATGGGTATGCCACCCATTGATTGATTCAAAGAAAATCAACGCAAGATTGGATGCAGTTGATTCACTCAACTCCGATCCCAGTACCCGGGATCAGTTCTCCTCCCAGTTAACAAAGATGCCGGATCTCGAACGACTGATCTCTCGTATCCACGCTGGCAACTGCAAGGCTCAAGACTTTGTACGTGTTCTAGAAGGATTCGAACAAATCGATTACATCATGGGACTCCTTAAGGAAAGTGACACTGGCTCAGGCGAAAGTATCATTGGTCAATTGACAACCGCGATGCCCGATCTTGCCTCTCTGCTGGGATACTGGAAGACCGCATTCGATCGTCCGAAGGCAAAAGAGAATGGGATTCTTGTTCCGGAGTCTGGTGTCGAAGAAGACTTCGATAACTCCCAGGAGATCATTGAGCAACTCCACCGGGACCTCGACGCCATGCTGAAGCAAGCTCGCCGAGATTTGGGGTCCTCTGCCATATGCTACCGGGATAACGGCAAGGAAATTTACCAACTCGAAGTTCCAATCAAGGTGAAGAACATTCCCAAGAATTGGAGCCAGATGTCTGCGACCAAGCAGGTCAAGCGATACTACTTCCCCGAACTCCGAAGCCTCATTCGCAAATTGCAAGAGGCCCAAGAAACCCACAGTCAAATCGTCAAGGAGGTCGCTGGACGGTTCCATGCCCGGTTCGATGAGCATTACAGCACATGGCTGGCTGCTGTTAGAATTGTATCGCAGCTCGATTGCCTCATCAGTTTGGCTAAGGCGTCCGGAGCCATCGGTCATCCTAGTTGCCGACCAGTGTTTGTGGACGATGAACGAAGTGTTCTCGAGTTTGAAGAGCTCCGTCACCCTTGTCTTCTTTCCTCTGTTGAGGACTTTATTCCCAACGATATCCAGCTTGGCGGCAAACATGCTAGCATTGACTTGCTGACCGGTGCTAATGCTGCCGGAAAGTCTACTGTTCTCCGAATGGTGTGTCCACCTCAGTTCTCCCCTTTTTTTTAATGATGTTGCTAACAAGTATAGACCTGTGTTGCTGTCATTATGGCCCAGATCGGTTGCTACCTTCCCTGCCAGTCAGCCCGACTGACCCCAGTCGACCGAATCATGTCTCGACTTGGTGCGAACGACAACATCTTCGCTGCCCAGTCAACATTCTTTGTTGAGTTGTCCGAAACGAAGAAGATTCTCTCCGAGGCTACTCCGCGCTCACTCGTCATCCTTGACGAACTTGGCCGCGGAACTAGCTCTTATGACGGTGTTGCCGTGGCCCAGGCCGTACTTCATCACATCGCTACCCATATTGGAGCTCTGGGCTTCTTTGCCACCCACTACCACTCGCTTGCTGCCGAGTTCGAAAATCATCCCGAGATTGCACCCAAGCGTATGGCCATCCATGTCGACGATGTCGAGCGCCGTGTGGCTTTCCTGTACAAGCTTGAGAATGGTGTCGCAGAAGGCAGTTTCGGTATGCACTGCGCATCTATGTGTGGGATTCCAAGCAAAATTATTGAACGTGCGGAGACTGCTGCCAAGCAGTGGGAGCACACTAGCCGGCTCAAGGAGAGCCTGGAGCGCCGTAAGGGTGGTGGCTTCGTGGGTCTGGGCTGGTGGAGTGATGTGGCCTGGGCGCTGCGCGAGTCTGTCACAGAGGAAGACTCAAATGCAGGCGATGTCTCTGATCGCGGCTTGGATGTCTTGATGAAGGCAATTGAGGCGCTTTAGTGATTGAGGTACTTATCCGGTGATTCCTCGTTCTTTATTGCGTCCATCTTCATAATGTGGGTCTATGATATTTGTGTCTATCTTTCACTTTAACTGGCCGTTCGTGTCAAAATTTGTCAGTTTTTTATGTTGGTTCAGAGGGCGTCACTGGACCTGTTCGGTTATCTTGTTTCCTGTGAATGTGAATATGTATCCCATAGCAAAGTAAGTTTTTATTTCAAATCCATTATCTAGAATGTCACACCATGTCTACGCACATTGCCGGTAGCCATATCATATTATTGCGCAATGGGTTCACATTGCCAGGCAAACATATGCCACAGCCATTCTCATGGGACAGGACAAACTAGATGCATTCAAGACGCCTTCTGCTGTGTAATTTTGGTCAAATCAATTCACAGATCCTAGGCAAAGTTATGTGAGAACACCCTACTCAAGACCCCAATCAAGACCCTTGAGAGAGACTGCGTCTCAGACATAGGCACATTTCATGACTCAGTCAATAGGCTCGGGCTTGATTTTTATATCATCGGCTTCAACCTTGCTATTCTCTGATTCAGCTTCAGCCTTCACGGGACTGTCGGTGCTCATGCCCTCTCCGGATTCAGTCTCGGTCTTGATCTCAAGTTTGGGTTCGGGTTCGGGTTCGGGTGATTCAGTAACTTTGTCACCGCGCTTTTTGACTCTAGCTGGGGCTTTTTCCATCACATTGGAGTCATTCTCATTGCCTAGAGTGTCCAACTGATCCTCAAACATCTTCTCCAGCTTGCGTTTGGCGGATGGAAATCGACTCGCTGCCGACTTTCTCTTCATACTGGTCAACTTTCCGAGCTTGTCAGTGTCAAGCTAAATTATAGGCACAGTCAGTTTGAGTCATGACTGAAGGCGGTATCAAGAGCGTGCATACCTTTCCAGACATGCATAGGACACTGGCCATAACCAGCTTCATTTCACCGGCTGTGAGATTACCCCAGTCGCCGGACTTCTTTTTGGGGGATGGGGTGGTCGACATTTTCTCAGTGGGTAACATATGTATGGGCTCTTTGTCTGCTTGATGGGATATGGGTTTATTGTGCTCTGCAAAGGCACTGAAGATAGGTTGTTGTGAGATATTGATGGTACGGAAAACGATCTGTTGTGTAGTGAAGAGGATGAAGAAGCAACGTTTACTTGCACTTTATTTGTGGAAATCAGGAATTTGTGATATTAGACTCGAAGATCACAGCCTATATTATAAAGGACTTTTGTACCTATTTCAATTATGGATTTCGAATTATGTATAAGTCGGATTCATCTTGAACAACACATGTCAGCTCCCTGGAACCTCAAGACTAGCTGACTGTTGCAAAGTTGGCTATTCATTCCTTCCTAATTCTCGGTATCCTCGACATGTGCAGCCTCCCCAGCCTCATCAGGGTTATCCTCATCGATTCGTTCATGTTCCTCGGCTTTCTTCGTAGCCCCGGCTATCACTCTCTCCTCCCATTTCTCGAGGGTGCGCCGGCCCTTAGTGAAGACAGTTCTGGCGGAGGAAGGCGTAACCTTGCTAAGCGCCCCGAGCTTCTTTCAATTAATCTGTCATGAAGATTCTTAAGCTTAAGTACTCACGAAGTAACACACTTTCTCACATACCTTGGGCTTTTGCATGCACAGATATCCCAGTAGGAGATGTTCCATCTAGCTTGGGTGAGGCCTAGGGCTTTCACCAGGTTGGAGGTCTTCTCTTGCTTCTGGGTGAAAGACATGATGACTATGTGACGTGGGACAGTAATAGAAGTTGAAACGATTGTAAAGGCAAGTTTTGTGTAAAAAGCAAGTGATCATTGAAGATAAACTCTCAAGGTGACCTGAGAAGTCAGTATATAAATAGGGTCGCAAGACTGAGGGATCCCACCTCGGAAGAGACATTGCATTCATCAAAGTAATAAGATAAATTGAAGAGATGAGCTTCTCAAGTGACCTCTTCATCCAATTTGATATCGAGTTCCCGGACTGGAGATGGGAAATATAAAAATGGACATGTATAGATTGAACTGCTAGATACCATATCCTTCTAGCGAACTTTGATATACACCAATCTGGCATGATCTAAGTTACTCTAGAATCAATCAAGTTTTTATAAAGAACCGATAGCTGCTCCCTGAAAGAAGAGACATTTATGGGTTGGGCTCTGGGTCGCCGGTTGACTGCAGGCGCCACAAATAAAATCCCCGGTTATCAGCATGTATGAATATGGCATACGTATACGTAGCTGGAATAGCAAATGCAATATTCATTGTGTTTCATTTGAATGCTTTATCACTGCCTTGAGACTAAACCCCAATAGACACTTTTTTTTTTGTTTTTCTTTAAAGAGCATTCACGGTTCCCTCATCACATACTCCTCCGAACCACCTCCTAGCAATCTGGTAGAAAAAACGCTTCGCAAATCTGATACCTTGTGCTTTCGGAGTTGCTGAACATAGAATTAATTCTGGTGCTGTTCATCCTCCTGCGCCTCCTCCTCGTAGGTATCATCTTCTTTGGCAAGTAGAGACTCAGGAAGGTGCTGGTTCACTGCCAGATCACGCGCGGCCTTGTCGTTGTTGTCGATCTTGTCGCTCGCCTCCTCATCTTGCTCGGTCTGAAGCATGGTTGCCTCAGTGGTGGCGGCAGATGCGGATGGCTCAGCGACAGGCTCAGCGGCAGGCTCAGTGACGGCGGCGTCGCGGAAAGTACCTCCAGTGACATCAGCGGCGGACTTGGCAGTGGTAGGACTAAGCTCGGGCTTGGCGGAAACCTGATCTGCACTCTCCTCGGTCTTGGTAGCGGCCTTGTCACCCTTGGAGGTCTTAGTCGCCTTGGTCGCCTTGGGGGTCTTCACAGTCTTTGAAGTCTTGGTCGCCTTGGGGGACAAAAGAACCTTTGGAGTACGAGGCGCCTTCGCGGTGGACTTTCCTCGCTTGGAGGGAGTCTCCTCGGGCAACAGGTCGGCCGTGGTACCGTTGGCATTGGCATCAGCATTGCTATTGCCGTACATCTTGTCTAGCTTGCGCTTGGCATTGCGAAAGAGCGTCTGAGCAGAAGACGCCTTGATGCCAGCGTTCAAAGCAAGCTTCTCGTAGTCGATCTTTGTGGTCCACTGTATTAGCAAGCACATTCCAATGAGGGAATTTAGGATTAATGGCATATACCTTGTCATTCTTCAGGCAGACATTGGCCAAGACCAGGAGCTTGGTCTCAGTGGCGGAAATACCGGCGAAGAGCTTCTCCTTCGGGGCAGCCGGGGAAGACATCTTTGTATGTAAGCTTGGTAGTCAAGGTCGAGCGTCGAGACGGATTTGAACTTGAAGTAACGGGTGTACAACGGAAGAAGGAAGTTGTATGGGCGAGTGGAGGTGGTGAGGAAGAGAAGGAGAAACCGCGTCGACGTGAATAGGGAAAACCAAGATTTGATAGATGTGAATCGAGCTTGAAAACGTTAAGTGAAACCGTTAACGCGGAGGTGGATGAAGAAAGAGAACTTCAGCCGAGTTGGAAATGACGGATATTTAACGTCCGGACGTTCAATCACGAGCTATTGTAAGAGGCAATATGTTTGCTTTGAGAACCTTTGGTTCAGAGTTGCTTAAGATGAGAGCTAGATGAGGGTTCAGGCATATCGACACTATATGAACAGACGGATTTTCCCCTAAAGAAGGGCAAATGACTTCTTTCGTTAACGCGTGACTGAGACTTCATATGGATAGTTACTATATGACAAAGATCCAAGACCTGAGGGTAAACGGATGTCGTGAAATAAGCCTGGCGTGTCCAATTGTCAATTGATAGCCAACCAAACGTCTTCGATTAGAGTGACTGAAACTTAGCTCCGTCGATCAACCAACTGAGAGAAATGGGCATCTGACCATTAATATCGCCAGCCATCAAGTGGCGGGTATATATTCGATCAACGAGGCTGCGACTTTGCTTTCTGAATTTTCTCGTAGATTCCATTCCACAATTCTGGGTAGAAAGCCGATGTTTGTCTCCCGGGTTTGCTGTGAGTTCCAGTATAGAACTGGGTCGGAGCTCTGCCCTGCCACCATCGTTGCGGCGACGGATTCAGATTCTGGAATGTGACGGGCCGCAAGGTCTCTTTAAATGGAACGAGATCTCCTATACGAACAGCTGTTTGCCGAGGAATGGTGTTGAATCGCATGCTGGTGAGATACAGCACGGCCGTCGGAGGCAGGTCTTTTGCATACTGGACGGCAGCTTCACGGGACTTCCTCGCAAAGGCCGGCAACGCCAGATGGATGAAATTTACATATGGCGCCGCAGTATAGGAGACAAATATCATCGGGAGGGCACCAGCGGCAATCACTGAGGTAAAATCAGCATAGACGCTCAGGCGATGTGGATGTTCAATTAGCTTACCCGCAGGTGTGCTATACCAGGGGTAATCGTCAGCCACGGAGCATGCTGGTGCAACGAGTAGACATGCTGCACCAAATAGGAGCACCGTGGTGATTCGTAGCGTCCCCAGAAAGATAGCTCTACCCGTTCCTCCGTAGTACACTAAGATACGTTCAGGTGGTCCTGTAACTATAGCTCAGCACACGCACGTCTAACAACTGACAGGGAGGGTTCACGGTACCTGTCCTGGTGGTTGTCTTTGGCGGTGTGAGCGTCCTTGTTACTGGAGAACGCGTAGCTGGGAGGGTTTCCTTCGACTTGGGTAATGGCGAAAGATGCTTCTGCGATGGCCGAGGGATCTGTGACTTGAACCGGACCCAGACGTTCCTCCGAAGACTGCGCTGGGCACACTCTGGTAGAGTTGTGCGTAATTGAGGGTGAAGTACAATTTGAAGTCGCATTGTGTCTATGTGTTGTAGTTGGCTTGGAATTTAGACATTGATCGATCTCCCAATAAATTGGGGCCGGCAAAAAGGTGACCGCCTTAGCTTCCGCTCCGTCTGGATTGCTAGATGAGCTGACCCCTGCCAGGTCTTTGACACATTCTCCTTTGATCTCATACCTTATGATATTGTAGATTATCTGGCTGGACTAGGCTTGAGATTTATCCGATCATTGCTTTGATGCAGGTCATGAGCAGTTAGCGCGAGCTTTCCTTCAACGCCATGTCTCCGGCTTATCGCATCCCGTCTGGCAATGTGTCACTCTGGCTAGGGCTCCTTGTCATGCTTCTAGCGTGTGTGGAAGCATACGAGAAAATATCGGATAAGACGCTGACCGAGCTCCTACGCCCCAACAACGACTTCGACATTCACAATGGCGCTCTGCTGTCACCTATACTAAGGACCCGCGTCCCTGGCACCCCCGGCTCCACCGCGGTGCTCAATCACTTCGCCGACTTTTTTCGAACCACATTGCCCAAATGGACTATTGAGATCCAGAACTCTACAGCTAAAACACCACTATCAAAGGGGAAGGAGGTACCTTTCCGAAACTTCATCGCTACTCGCGATCCTCCTTGGGCCTCGGTTGGTGACGTTGGCCGGCTCACTCTTGTCGCCCATTATGACAGCAAAATAGAACCGGAAGGCTTCATTGGGGGGATCGACAGTGCTGCACCATGTGCGATGATTATGCATGCCATTCGCAGCATTGAAGCCGCGCTGGAGAAGAAATGGTCCGCGTTGAAGGAGCAGGGACTATATAACTACCTCGAAGAGGAGCGGGGCCTCCAGGTTATATTCTTAGATGGCGAAGAAGCCTTTCAAGAATGGACTGCTACCGATTCTCTCTACGGAGCTCGTGCCTTGGCTACACATTGGGATGACCAAGTCTATCCCGCGATGTCGGAATTCAGGGGTCCTCTGTCGTCTATATCTCTTTTTGTCCTTTTGGATCTGCTGGGCTCGAAATCCCCGACAATTCAATCTTGGTATGAGACCACTCACTGGGCCTATCAAAGCTTGGGCGACCTTGAAAAGCGGTTCAAGACATTGAAGCAGTTCAAGTCTGTCTCGGCTGATCCGTGGTTCGTCGATACCGAGAAGGATGGGCACACGCTCTCACTTATGGGTGGCATCCAGGATGATCACATTCCTTTCCTCGCAAAGGGAGTTGAGATCCTCCATCTTATCGACTATGCCCCCTTCAAGGGATTCCCTCCTGTTTGGCATACAATCGACGATGACGGTGAGCATTTAGATTTGGATACCGTCGAGGACTGGAGCATGCTAGTTACTGGCTTCGTTGCTGAGTGGATGGAGTTGGAAGGGTACTTTGGCCATCCATCGGCCCCTAGTCCGCGCAGTGACGACGAATCGGCCAAGTTGGAAGCGCTTCGCATGGACAGAAAGACTGAGTTGTAAGCCATTCTTCCGTTTACTCACCCCTCTGTGTTTTCGGTTCCCTGTCTAGTCTTTTCCCTCTGTTATATACCCAATGCATTTATTCACAGATCAATGGCATCTATTCTCACTTGAACCGAATTTGTACATATCTTATGGTATCATTTCCTTTGCTAATCAGACCTCTGACGCAGCTCCTGAGATCTCCGGACTTCCATACTTTCTTTTCTTGCATCGTTATGCACCGATTTCGACTTTATTCCCCCGAGAACACGCCAAAGTTCGACAAAGCTAATGGATAATTAATTCTCTATAATCTCTATATCCCATTCCCTTTAAATGAGGTTGCCCAGCATGTATCCACCCATGGTGATCAATCCCCAAGTTGGTTGCAGGATTGTCCGCAAGATTGCGGGGCCTGGGCATACACCTTCCAGTCCCCAGGCTAGTCCAAACGTCGCAGCACCTATAACAAACCGCCAATCTATGTCACTCACCGTGGCCGTCGGGAGTCGCCATTTCTCAGCAAGGGTAGGCTTTGCAACAGGCTTTCCCTTTTCGACCGCTTGGCCTGGTTTCTCAGTCAGGAAAATGAACAGGGATGGTCCAATTCCAAATAGAATGACCAGTGCTAGCGACGGATCAAATCGGGATGGGTCAGTCAAGAAGGCAAAGAACCTGAGCACCTTGGCTGGGTCCGCCATTCCAGATATGAAAAGACCCAGACCAAATTCCAACCCTGTCACATAGGAATAGATGACCCTAGATTCCTCCGACCGGCGGACTTTCCGGGGGACAACGATGAAGTTTGTTATACCCGCCAGCAGCACTGCACCAGCCATGAAGCCTAACTCCGACTCAGATGGATACACTGGAGTATAGCACGGGGTCGTACCACAAGACGGGATGTTGGATCCGCCCTTGACAATGTTCGCCGTGAGCAATGCAGTTGTGAAAAATATGGCGGTTGCAATCAACGAGCGGGGCGAGAGACGCGAAAGGCCACACAGCATGTGTCCGGAGGTACAGCCTTGACCGTTCTGCTTCACTTAGTCAACTTGTTCCTGGTTTTGCAATTATGTCCGATACTCCTCACCTTTGTTCCCCACCCCAATAGGAAGCCCACTCCCAACGTTGCTGCAGCAGAAGCCCAGGAGTGTGGCGATGCGGGATAGTTCGGGATCAGTGATGGTGCCAGCAAGTACACCGGCACAATACTAGATACCAAACCCGCGATGATGGGCACATTGTCACGACTCGGGCTGAAGGCGCACCCGGATAAGAGAGAGGAGATGCCGAAGACGGCGCCGTTGTGTATGAGCAGGCCTGACGAGCCGTGGAATAGTAACAGTGCGCCCAGCGTGGTATGAATTGGGGTGAACATGATGTTGATGCTCTGCGGATTCGTCTTTGTTATCCAGATTTTTTTCCTGATGTCATTGCGGGAAGTGTAATCTGAGGTTTGACGGGGATTTTTATGATAGCTGCAGTATAGGAACGCCCAAGGAATGCAGGGGGGAAAGATCTATAACCGGGGATTTTCTCAAATTCAGTGTTTAAAAAAAAAAAAGCAAAGAAACAAAGGAGTCAAGATAAGCTTTCCATATTCTTCCATGTCAAAGGGATTTCCGGATCGGGGACCACCCACGTCGCCGTTATAGTTATAGTGGTCCCCGAGCATTTTCTTTCGGCATCTCTCGGTATTCACGTAGGCCATTATGAGCTCATTGGTTGACCATCCTATTCGAGCATTTACCCTCGACATCATCACCTCAAGCGCTTTCGTATACTAATTCGCCGTGTGATACCAGCCCCTACATACAGTAGCATGACAAGACGACTGGAGTAACAATCTCTAGACGAATGTCTTCAAAGAATCAGGAAACCTCCTGAGTATTATCAATGGATGTGACAATCGTGACATATGTAACAACTGTGACACCGAAAATGAGACGTCGGAGTGAGCAGCAGACCTCTCGTGAAGCAGTCGCAATCCAGCCCCTTCTGTATGTTCCACTGGTCATTATGGAGCTCCTTCCATATGTTGTTTTTTTTCTTCCAGATACATTCAACTTGACCATATTGGATCAACCCTCAATTTTCGTTCTCGTTCAGAATGGGGAACACATCCAGCGTCGTCGGCCGTGAGTGCTTCATGGCCGCTGTGGGAGGAAACCCCAATATGGCAACCTTTCGGGGAGATCTTCTATATGAATTCCGGGCCCTGCCATCCTATAACTTGGCCATTCCTGTTCACCCTGAGGTGATCACCTATCCGAAGAATACGACCCAGGTCGCTGAAATTGTGCGCTGTGCTGTTAAAGGAAACTATCAGGTGCAAGCTTACAGTGGAGGTCACAGCTATGGCAATTACGGTATGAAAGTACATTCTTGATCCAAATCTACCCTTGCTAAACCAACTGTACTATGTATGGTAGGTCTAGGAGGAGCTGATGGTCATGTCGTCGTCGACCTGAAAGACTTCCAGAAATTCTCAATGGACCCGGACACTCATATCGCCACGATTGGGGCAGGCACAAATTTGGGTGATCTCCAAGACCGCCTTTTGCATGCAGGTGGTAGAGCGATGTCACACGGATCTTGTCCACAGGTCGGCGTTGGTGGTCATTTCACCATTGGTGGCCTCGGTCTCATGTCACGACAATGGGGAACTGCGTTGGATCATGTTCTGGAGGCTGAGGTAGTCCTGGCCAATTCCAGCATTGTGACAGCGTCGGAAACGCAGAACCAGGACGTCTTCTGGGCTATCAAGGGTGCGGCCGCCAGCTTTGGCATCGTCACCGAGTTCAAAGTTCGCACTCAGGAAATTCCTAAGGGCGCTGTGCAATACACGTATACATTCAGCCAGGGAGATGTTCTTGACAAAGTCAAACTCTTCAAAGCTTGGCAATCCGTCGTGGCAAAGCCTAATATTACGCGGAATTATTCCACCGAGCTCACAATCTTCCAGGGCGGGATTGTGATCACGGGCAGCTTCTTCGGAACTAGAGAAGAGTTCCATGAATTTGAGCTGGAAAACAATCTTCCAATCCAAAACAAGGGCAATGTGGCATACATTACGAATTGGCTAGCCTTGGTAGCCCACGCGGCTGAGAATTATCTGGTCTCGATCGGCGGAGCGTTACTTACGTCGTTCTACTCCAAGTCAGTATCGTTCACAGTTGACGAACTATTCACCGAGCACGCCCTAGTCGCCTTGTTTACATATCTCGACACCGCACCGAAGGGCAGTCAAAACTGGTGGGTTATTTTCGACCTGGAAGGTGGCGCAACCAACGATGTTCCCATGAATGCCACGGCCTATGTTCACCGTGATGCTGTCATGTGGATGCAATCTTATGCTGTTGTCGGCTTTGAGCCTCCTGCCTTCATTGCCAGGCGGTTCCTCGATCGCTTGCATCAAGTCGTGATACAAAATCGACCACCCGGTCCTCTGCGTTCCTATCCGGGATATGTCGATCCCTACCTCGAGAATGGCCAGATGGCCTACTGGGGATCCAACCTTGGACGTCTTCAGAGTATCAAGACTCTCATTGATCCGAAGGATGTCTTCCATAACCCACAGAGCGTGGCTGTTAATCCCATTATCAATTCTCACAATTAGGGCTGCTTGGGGGAGAAATTGGGTTCCAGTTTCATATGTTTTATTGACGGGCACTGCGATAGCTCTAGTCTTGCCAGTATTGCTTTTTTTGTATTTTGCGGGCATGTAGTCTTAAATTGAAACGAATTTGGACATTTTTTATGAAAGGTTGGATATGATTCTAAAGATAAACAAGGTATCAATCGTAAATATATAATTGACAGGTGACTTATTCAATTGGCTAGAACTTTTCTTTCTCGGAATTCGCTCTTACCACCTGTAATCTCACGATATTAATATGTAGCTTTGTATTCATGGATAATGTTTTACCGTCTTCTTATGTACTGTCTCTGACGTCGTTGACCGAAGGCTTCCAAATTTGGAAGTCAAGCTTGTTACTAAGCCATTTGCGGCCGCAGGAGATCAACTCAAGTTTCCATCTATAAAAGTCATGCAGGTTGTAGTCGAATCAAACAATACCACTGCTTCGATGCATGTCACGGCTCTAACTCTCGCTTGATACCGGCTACGACGTCCCTCAGCTCCGGTGCTCTAATCATGAAACGTGCTTGCAGCCCAGAAACTAGCCCAGACCATGAGCTGAGACAAGAAGTCCCGCTAAATGACCAGCGCCCAATTCTCATGAGCCTTAATACGCCTGTCTCTCCGCCAAAAAAGAGATCATCCATCAAATGTGTCAAAGATGGAGATGGAAGAGACTCCATCCCGCTGAACGCATCACAACTAAACACTTCACCCAGCCTCGCTGCCATCGAAGCAGGCCAGGTTGAAGTGACCGACCATCTGAGCACGATTTCCGCAAAGCTCAAAGAATGCGTTCGCCCACTTCCAAAACAGTCATTACCACGGCTGCCCATCAAAGAATGGATCGAGCTGTATAGACGAAACGAGCACCCAGAAGGACGCCATTTCGTCATTCATCAACATGACCATCCCATCGCAGGGCCGCATTACGATCTTCGCCTCCAGTTCTCAGAGACTAGCTCTGTGAGTTGGTCGGTTATGTATGGGATGCCTGGGGATCCGAATAGCCAGCGATTAAACCGGAATGCAACTGAAACTCGAATACATTGTCTATGGGTGGGTTCATGATCTGAGATGGTATAATAGCAATACTTACATCTTCACAGAATCATCTCATTGAAACGGCTTCCCACAAAACGGGGAGCCTGATTATCTGGGATACTGGAGAATATGAAATTCTACCTTATCAAATGGACCAATCTGGCCCGGAGACCGATGATTCTCGATCAGAGATCTCCGAAGACAGTCACGTTGCACCGGAAGAGCAGATCTCAGATAGTGCCAAGTTGCGAGAAGCTTTTCAGAATGTAGGTATATCCCTGTACCACGGAGACAATGAATAGACTTCTCTAACACTGAAACACCAAGCGCAAAATCCGACTCCGACTACATGGAACCCGTTTACCAAAGGACTACACTATTATTCTGCGGATGGATAAAACAACCGATTTCGCGAGGCCGATCCGCGAAGGCCCCAAACGGCGTCGTCGACACCCATCCAGGCCAACGCTACCACAAGCGCCGTCTACCTCGGACTCTGGATCGCCCTCGCCGCCACCTGGTCAGCAAGAATCAAGTGGGCATCCAACACCGCAACGATCTCAACCCGAGTCTCAGACCGGCCCGGCTAGGCATGCACGTCCAGACGATACCCACACCGCCAACATTGAAATCCAAAGAAACAACGCCTACCCAGGGTCCAACAACACGATCGGCTCGATCCACCAACGGCGGTGGTACCTCAGTTTAGACCGGGAATCTTCTGGATTTGAGCCGATCATAAGAAATTCAAGTGAGGGGTTGAAGGAAAGAGGCAGGAAAAGAACGTGGATCCCTAAACCCGTCGGACAAGGCTTCGAGCCGTTTTACGTGCACGGACCGGAGGCTGAGCGGAGTATTATTACGGCGCGATTGGGGCGCGACGTCTTGGATGACGAGGCCGTGGAAGAGTTTGTGCCGAGACGCGGGTGGAGGCCGGTCCTGCATTAGACGGAGATGGGTACAAGCTATACAAGTGGGGACGTACGAATTTCCCTTGGATTGGAAGAGGTGAAAGTGAGCAATTGCTCTAACTGCTTAGTGCTTACTCCGTAGAGAGTACAGGATATACTATTCGGCACATGCCGCGCAATACCTCCAATCTCGGAGCCCGGGATTTCTACAGGGGATGTGCAGCCAAACAGTGACTCTTGAACACGAGATCTGCAGGATATAGTGCATGCGTGTGACTCAATACACAGCCCGAGAGCGAAATCTGTCAGTTAATATTTATTATGAATGCGAGGCCTTTGAGTCACTGGCGGTCTGAGATCGGTCTATTTCCCCCGCTCGATGTCACTATAGCTCGCGCTAGCATGCGCAAGCGTATTCGCTATAGTCGGGGGCTGATAACGCCATGATATCTCTTTTGTCTGCCTTTCTCTCTTGTCTTCCTTTTTTTGTGTCCCAAAAATATGGCCTACTTGGCGACATCTACCTATCTAGCATTGGCGCTAGTTGCTCTGGATAGCATACCTGCCATTCGGAGTATTGCCCACCGCATTGCACGCAAATCGCGCGATTATGAGCCCATCCAACTAGCCAAAGTTGTCTACCGCGATGAAGATGGCGAAGCGACCGAGGAATCCCTCCGAGAATTCTCTGATAAATGGCAAAGAGTTGCCATTGCCCTGTTCTCCATCGCCGGATTTCTGGTCACTCTCGCATCGGCTGTGCTTGCGACAGTGAAGCTCGCCATTACCAATTCTACGCTATTGGTATGGCTGCAGTTCGGAGTGTGGGTATGTAGAAACCTCGACAACCGTTCGATTTAAGTCAAGCTTAATAGCTAATTCTTATTCTTTTTAGATTCTGCTCGCTATTCAAGCTGTTGCTTTCTTCGCCGAGCCCCGACCAACAAGCCGATATGTTCTCGGCCACTTTGCTTTCTGGGGCAGTATCATTACCATTGCGGTTCCGGGCATTGAACTGGGCATCTTGATATTCTCCCGACTTGGCCTTCCGCATGGGCGACTTTGGGTCGGGTTGCAATTGGCTCAAATTGCTTGCGCTGCTCTTCGCGCCGTACCATGTGTTCTACTACCGCGTCGTCCTGATATTTACTATGAAGATAAGCTGGTTGAGCGGGAGCTTTCGGTCTCGCTACTCAGCCGCTTCACTTTCAGCTGGGCCAATGGGTTGTTAAACTACGCAGTGAAGCACAAGACCATGGATCTGGACGATATTCCCAGGCTTACAGCATCGAACCGTGCTGCTTTTCTCTGTGAGAAATTCGAAAATGCCAGACAGAACCGGAAATTGTGGGTAGCGATTGTCGCTGCGCATTGGGGGTCATTGCTCGTCCAAACTACGCTTAGTCTGACGATTTGCTTTCTGAGCTTTGGACCACAGGTCGCCCTTTTTCAAATTTTGAAAACACTCGAACTGCGCAATACCCCGGACTGGAATGTCGGGGCATCGTATATCTGGGTCCTGGGCCTGGGTGGGTTGTTGTTCCTTGCCTCGAGCGTGGAGGCGTGGCTTATCTGGGTGGTCTATTCTAGACTCGGGGTTCCGATCTACGCAGAGCTGTCAGCAGTTATATTTGCCAAAGCTATGCGTCGGAAGGATGTGAAGCATACAAAGAAGACCAAGCCAGATAATTCCGATACTTCCAGCAAAGGATCAGCCGAAGTCGACGACGATGACGATCATGTATTAAAGAAGAGCCGCCAGAGTATTATCAACCATGTGGCCGTGGATTCTCGGCGAGTTTCCGACTTTGCCTCTCTCAACTACATTATCCCACAGGCGATCTTCAGAATCATGATCGGTGCCGCCTTTCTGGTCCAAATCCTCGGCTGGCACAGTGCCTTTGCCGGTCTTTCGGTCTCTCTTCTTGTCACACCATTGAATGTATATGCAGCTAGAAAATATTCGAATGCCCAGGACCGATTGATGAAATCCCGTGACCAGAAGCTGGCGATCGTTACCGAAGTGCTGCAGGGAATCCGGCAAATCAAATTCTCGGCTCTGGAGGAGCAATGGCAGAAGCGTGTCCGGGATACGCGAGAAACCGAACTTGGTGCATTGTGGGCTTCTTTTCTTGCTGATATTGGCCTGCTTGCGATCTGGGTTCTCGGTCCCGTCGGATTATCCGCTGTTTCGTTGACTACATACGCCATTATCAATGGTACTTTGTCACCTTCTGTGGCTTTCACGGCTATGGCAGTCTTCAATTCTCTCGAGGTGGCCCTCGCTGTTATACCGGAGCTGATGTCGATGGGTCTGGAGGCGAAGGTTAGCTCGGAACGTATCGACAAATTTCTGGCTACGCCCGAAAATGTCGTCAATACTGTCCCTGCTGAATATATCGCTTTCGAGGACGTCTCTGCTGCATGGCCTGCGGAGGCAGAAGATATCCAAGATTTCGAGGATCGTTTTGTTCTGCGTGACATGACCTTGAAATTCCCAACGAAGAGTCTAAGCGTGGTATCGGGCAGAACTGGCTCTGGAAAGAGCCTGCTCCTCTCGTCGATCATGGGTGAATGTGATGTCCTCACAGGAACGATAAAGGTACCCGTTCCACCTCCCATTAAAGACCGGTTTGATCACCTTGCGACAAAGGCAAATTGGATTATCGACTCCGCCATTGCCTATGTTGCTCAGACGCCATGGATCGAGAATGCTACAATCAAAGCAAACGTTCTCTTTGGACTCCCAGACGATGCAGAGCGATACCAAGAGGTCATCTTTGCTTGTGCTCTGGAAAAGGATTTTGAAATGTTGCCAGACGGCGATATGACTGATATTGGTGCGAATGGTGTTAATCTAAGCGGTGGTCAACGCTGGCGTATTTCCTTCGCCCGCGCATTATACTCTAGGGCTGGCATACTTATTATGGATGACATCTTCAGCGCTCTCGATGCCCACACAGGTCGTCATGTCTTTGAGCAAGCTCTCACCGGCAAACTCGGTCAAAATCGAACTCGCATTTTGGTTACTCACCATGTTGCACTATGCCTTCCTCGCACGGACTACTCCGTACTGTTGGAGAATGGTCGTATCAAATATGCAGGTACCATTGATGACCTGAAGGAATCACATCATTTAGAGGATATCCTTGGTGAGGAACATGTCGCAGAACAAGCGGATCTTGTCGCAGATGGAGAAGACCGTGAATTCTTTAACGATGAGGAGACAACTCTCCAAAAGGTGATCTCTAATACATCTCATCAAAAACCGAACACAGCCACAAATGGCCAAGCTTCCAACGGAAATGGAATTGCTACTACACAGACGAAACCGAAGAAATTTGTTGAAGATGAAAAACGAGAAACCGGTTCTGTGCGGCTAGCAGTTTACATTTCTTTCTTGCATAAAGGTGGCTCTGTGGTCTATTGGTTGGTGACGCTCTCGGTCTACTTAATGTTTTCGTCCCTCATGGTTGGACGGGTAAGTGCATGAAATCCTATGACAGTTCCCTTGTCGTTGTCTTTATCTGATTCTTTTATCACAGTCTTGGTGGATCAATGTTTGGACAAGTTCGTCCTCCAATACTAAAGCACACCCTGAGCAATACAGTGTCCTATTGCAGCATACTATGCGAGAAACTGCACCGGTCCCACAACATGACGACCTCTATATGTACCTCGGAGTATATGCTGCTATCTCGATCACTGCCTGTATAATAGGGACAGTCCGTTATTACTGCATTCTTTCGGCTTCGGTGCGGGCCTCGAGGAACCTTTTCAATGGCTTGATTTATGCTATCCTCCGCGCGCCACTCCGGTGGCTAGACACTGTCCCATTGGGGCGAATTCTCAACCGCTTCACAGCCGACTTTCACTCAATCGATTCACGAATCGGATACGACATCGGGTTCTTCGTGGGTAAGCTACTAGATGTTTTCGCAATCATGATTGCAGGGATGCTTGTCGACTGGATGGTGATCTTGCTCGGCATAGTCCTGTTGCTCATCTGTCTGAAATTGGCCGTATCCTATTTGGAAGGTGCCCGTCAAGTCAAACGTCTTGAGAGCACTGCGAAAAGCCCCGTGTTTGAGCAGTTTGGGTCTAGTCTCGCTGGCCTGATCACCATTCGTGCCTTCAGCAAGCCAGACACCTACATCGAAATCATGTTCAACAAGATCAATCGCCATGCGCAAGCATGGTGGAACTTGTGGCTGTTCAACCGCTGGCTCGCATTCCGCATGAGCATCATCGGTGCTATCTTCTCAACTGTCACTGCTGGGCTCGTGGTCTATCTGCCGGGTGTGAGCGCTTCACTTGCGGGTTTTGCTCTCAGCTTTGCCCTGCAGTATAACGCTGCAATCACGATGGCATTGAGGCAATACGCTAATATTGAATTGAACATGAACGCCATAGAGCGTGTTATCGAGTATTCCAACATCGAGATCGAGAACCAAGGAGGAGCCGATGCACCTGCGGCTTGGCCCACAGAGGGCCATCTCGAGGTCCACGATCTTGTGGTGGGCTACGCACCGGATCTTCCCCCGGTATTGAACGGGCTCAGCTTCTCAGTGGAGAAGAACCAGCGGGTAGGCGTCGTTGGACGTACAGGGGCTGGCAAGTCCTCGTTGACGCTTGCACTCTTCCGATTCCTGGAGGCACGCTCGGGTGAGATCTTCATCGACGGACTTGATGTCTCCAAGGTCAAACTGCACGATCTCCGCAGCCGACTTGCAATCATCCCACAAGACCCAGTGCTATTCTCCGGCACGGTGCGATCAAATCTGGATCCGTTCGATGAATACAACGATACGGAACTCTACGATGCGCTAGCGCGCGTGCACCTCATATCCGAGGCCGACGACGACGAGCTCACCCTCACATCGCGGACTGCCACACCCCGCCAGGCTAGCGAAACGGGCACCACGACACCAGCGACGGTCCAGAAAACCAACTCTAACGCTTTCACCTCACTCTCTGCAACAATCTCTGAGGGTGGTCTCAACCTCTCCCAGGGTCAGCGCCAGCTGCTCTGTCTCG